CCTTCTTGCAATTCCTGCTGGTCACTGAAGATGAGGCGCGACAAGCAAGGCGTCAAGCGCCCGGAGTATCACATGTTGGCGGGATGGACGAGCAATCCGATCAGGCCGAAGGTGATCTCCTGCCGCGCTGGGATGGCATGAAGAGGGGCCGCTCGGAAGGATCTCACGGGGGCGCGAACCCAGCGCCGCATCTGGCGAGAAGATTACATGACGAGCAGTGTTTTAAGAGAGCACTTGCTCCCGGCTCAGATATGAGTGACAATTCGAGTACACATGTTGCCCAACGGTTGAATGATGATGGGGGTGAACACCAAGACGAGATATCCGATGAAGAGTTGCTGGCGTGTGTGGCTGAAGACGTTCTGGTGCTGTCTAGCTCAGCGGTCACGACCTCCAGGTCTTCAAGTACCTGGACATCTCTTCCCATCAGTTTCTTGCCAGGTTGACAGCGCTTAGGATCATCGTCTGGAGTTGGGCATGGACGCCGCCGCGGCATTCAATATCTGCGGCGAAACCGTGCTGGAGAGCTACGTCGTGATAACATCGGTACGACCTCATGGGTTGCTACGCAGCAGCAGTGATAGGGCGCGAGATGAACGTGCTCACCAAGGACGAGCTCAATACACATGCACGTGATGTTGCTGAGGCTTGTCTGTTGGAATTTCGGCGATGGTGTGTCATTGGCATGCGCACTCGGACGGCGAGAAAGAAAGCTGCGAACTGGGTGGATAGTCGATGGGTGCCCAAGTGGAAACTGATAGTTGGGACACGCCAGAGCAAGGCAGGGCTGACGGTTCGCGGCTTCGAAGACATGCAAGTTGAGTCGCTTGCGCCCTTTGCGGGCGCAGCGCCGAGGTGGGGGCAGAGAACCGTGTGCTCGATGGCAGCGCTCTACCAATGGAAGCTATTGTCGACGGATATCTAAATGGCATTTCAGCGAGGAAAGACATTCAAACATTTCGCGGCTGAGACGGGCATGAACTGAGATCAATTCAGCGAGAGTTACCGGTCGGAGCTTGCAAGCTGTTGCGGCAGATCGAGGGTTTTCACGACTTCAGCGAAATTACCGAGGATCTGGATGTGAATAACCTAGGCTTCGGTACCAAGCATGCGCCGTGGTCGTGGAGTATGGCCCTTACTGAGACGCTCGTGGAGGCGAGTTGGCAGCCCGCTAGAGCAGACGCCAAGCTGTGCGTCAAGCGCCGTAAGGCGACGGAGAAGGACGGCAAGTGCCTGAACACGAACAACCCCTGCATCAAGAATGGAGCGGTTCCGCTCGGCGTTTCAGCGGCCCACGTCGATGACTTCAAGGGCGCGTGTGAAGAGACAACGCGGGTAGAGCTGTTCCAACGATTGGAGGCTGAGCACAGCAAGTGCCAGCTGATAGAGGCACCTTTCGGGTGCGTTGGTATCCAGCATCGACAAGACCCCAAGACGATGGAGTGCACCATGGGTCAGAATCACAATGTGAGTCAGCTAAGCAGGCCGACCCTGACAAGGCGAACGATAAGCAGGTCAGCCTGTGTATGTCTTTGCTGGGAGCAGTTGCATGGCTTGTTCTTGCGAGGGCAGACATCGTGGTGTATGTGGGTAGGTTGCAGCGAAATAGGTCAAGATCTCGGACTCGGAGGATCTCAGCAACGTGTTGAAATGGATTAAGCGGGTTCCGTCTACGACGCGATTCAGTCAACCGACTTCGCCGTTGTGTATGACTGTGATTGTTGATGGCGCCCATCGAGCTGATGATCTGGACTGCTTAGCACTGAGAGCTGCCATCGTCGGATTATGCGAAGGTCGTGACGCAGTGCCCTCTGGATGCTTTCACGCCCGGGAATCTGTCTCCCGCAGACAGGCCAAGGTGAATAGAGGCGCGTGCAGCGCCGAGCTGAACGATGCGATCGAATCTACTGAGTACGGTATGAAACTGAATTGTTTCATGATGGAAGGGTTAAGGGGATCCCAGACGGCGGTGGTACGACACTCTGCTTTTGCAGGGCATTGCGGTCTGGATCTACACTTGGTGCTGGGCGCATCACTCGGCGTTTGATGCGCGCCGCGCAGGAAGTCTCGACGCCGACGGATCGGCAGTTGATATATAGAGTCTGTTCGCTTCGTGAGCACCTGGAGGCACGACGGCTCATGACTATACATCGGGTGGATACTCGTGATATGCTGTGTGATGCGCTCGCAACAGGAGGAGTCCCACGAGCAGCTATCCCGGGGGCATTCTCCCCAGGCAGTTGGAAGGTCACCGTGCGAGAGCAGTTGCATTCATGGAGTTGTCCAGACAGGTCGCCTGGTACTACGAGGACGGTGACCTGAGCGTCCAGGACGCGTGTGTATAGCTATGTATATGGTCACAGCGTTAGAGGTTTTACCTAAAATGCTATGTTGCAGACTAGCGCTAGATTGTTTTACATAGGTTTGTGTTTGCTGCCCGTGATCAGCCATGTGTACTACCTCAACATAGGTGTATTATCTCCGGCGGCCCAGGCCCCGTGACGGCGGCGGGGGTGTTGCGCAGGATGGCCAAGGCCGCCTGGGCAAAACCCCAGCCATACCGACATTTCACCCACCGTTCGTGGCCGACGTTGAGTGCGGCTACGAGTGCCTCCCAGATGACGAGGACACCGTCGATTTCACGGACCACCTTTGTCTCGCGGACCTCATCATGTCAGGCCTGCGATGATGAGGAGTGATACCAGAGTCGCAGTGTAGGAGATATGTCATGTATATGTATAGGTGCGCATGCGTGTGTATAGCCCGCCTGCCCGCCGCAATTGTTTCAGTCAAGGACGCGTTCAGGAGTTTCGTTCTATGCATGTTCTGACAAACATCCTTTTTTTTCTTTCTCTCTCTCTCTCTCTCTCTCTCTCTTGTCTTGCAAATAGCCAGGTCAATCGACCGCAAACTCCCCCCCCAGGAGCCCACTTGGGAATGCCCCCGAAGCTCTCCCCAACGGCGGGGAAGGGATCAAGCGAAAAGGATAGGATTCCCTCAAAGGGGAAGGGTTCCCCCTCTCCCTCCCCCCTCCCTCTAGGTGAGACAAGAAGGCATGGCTGCAGGTCAGGATGGGCTGCCCTCTGGGCGTGGGTGGCCTAACCAGCTCTTTTTGCCATCGTTCGGACATCCATTCATTGTGCATGTTTCTGTCTCGTGCGCTTATTTGTTCGCACGGTGAGCCTCCCAGCGCCGCCTCCCACGAGTCGTGCGCCCCGTCTGGGCCTCGCGGTCCCTGGCTGTTGCGCGCTAGAATGTTCCTCCAGGCTTCGCCCCAGCTGGGAACCCACGCCTGGCTGGCTTCGAGGCCGTGCGGCCCCGTCGCATCCCTGCTGTGTTGCTTGCACTGGCGACCAGCTGGACGCCTTCACCCGCCCCTGCCCCGCTGCTCCTGCAGCTGGGCGCCCCGCCTCGCCAGCCCTGTGGCGACGCGTCCCTGGAAGGGGAACGCGACTCAACTGCGACGTTCCTTTATTTCATTGTCCTTCAGTTTTCGTTGGGACTGGCGACGACGACGACAGCGTCTTCTACGCGCCGAGAGGTTGGCGGATTCTGTACCATTTACGCGGTGACGGGGCGAAAACGGAGCGGCGACGAGGCGGCGACGGTGAGGACGGAGTCGCCAGACCGGCACCTAGGCCCAGACAACGGGCGGCGACGACGCGGCGACGAAGCGGCGATGGCGAGCACGGAGCCGCCAGACCGACACCCAGGCTTGGACGACGGGTGGCGACGAGGAGGCGACGAGGCGGCGACGACGAGCACGGAGCCGCCAGACCGACACTCAAACCCAGACGACGGGCGGCGATGAAGGCGGCGACGGGGCGGCGACGGCGAGCACGAAACCGCCAGACCGACACCCGGGCCCAGTACTTTGGAAAAGAAGTAATAACCCCTAAGTGCAAACACTGCTTGGGGAACAGTAGGAAGCGCGACATGCAAGCACGGTTTGGAGAAGGAGAAGAAGTGAGAAACAGTGCAGAGCAATGCCAAGCAATGCGAAGCAATGCAAAGCAACGCAATGTAAAGCAAGGCGAATCAATGCACATCAACGCAAACCAATGTAATGCAATGCGGGGTAATGCAAATAAATCGAGCGTGACGCAACGCAATGCATCGCAATGCCAAGCAATGCAAATCAATGCAACGCAACGAAAAGTAATGTAAAGCACATCAAATCAATGCAAAGCAATGCAACGCAATGTAAAAAGCAATGCGGAGTAATGCAAATCAGCGCAGCTCAATGTGATGCAATGCAGAGTGACGAAACACAGTGGCAAAGTAACGTGACGCAATGCAAAGCAATACAGAGTGGCGTATGTAACGCAATGCCAAGCAATACAAGGCAATACAACACAACGCAAAACGTTGCAAAGCAATGAACAGCAATGCAAAGCAATGCAAACTTATGTAAACCAGTGTAAAGCAATGCCATGCAATGCCCAGCAATGCAACGCCATGCAGAGCAATGCAAAACACGGAAACTAATGCAGAGCAATGCCAATCACTGTAAAGCAGATTGCAAAGAAGTGCGATTGCAATGCAATGTTGCACAGCAATCCAAAGTGTCGCAAAGCACTGCCAAGCAATGCAACGCACTGCAAAGCAATGCAAAGCAATGCTAAGCAATGTAAAGCAATGCAAAGTAATGCAGTTCTATGCAGAGCAACGCGACGCAATGTAAAGCGGGCGGCGACGAGGCGGCGGCTGCGGCCACCTGGTGGCCCGAGCGGCCCGCAGGCCTAGTTCCTTAGAGTGCAATGCAGAGCAATGCAAAGCAGTGCGATTACAATGCAACGCGATTGCAATGCAGTGCAACTTAATGCGATTGCAATATTGTGCCCAGCCGACGGGTGGCGACGGTCGGCGACGAGGCGGCGACGGGGCGGCAACAGGGCGGCGACAGAGCGGCGACGGCGGCCACATATCCGCCCGACCCGCACCTCCGCCTAGTTCCTCAGCCAACAAGCAAGAACCCTTAAGTGTAAGCTTCGTTTTAGTGATAACTTCCACGTCGTGCTCCGGGGTACGGTGGGGGATTCTTCCTGATCAGGATGCCATGAGCCCGTATATTATATTCTTCATGCTGATAATCATTCCGCCTCCTCCTCTCTCATTCACCTCCCTCTCCTCTTCCTCTCGTCCTCCTGCCTTCCCTTCCCAATTCTGCCTCCCACCTGTGCCTCCTGGTCCTGGTCTCTACGCGATGCTGAGCCTGCGGCGCGTGGCAGGGCGATCGCGCGTCCAGCCACAAGAGCGCAGCGCAGTGTGGGTGTCATAAAGCAGGGCCCTGGTACTGTCGCTCCCTTCGGGGAGACTGGTTCTTGGCGAAGATTGCTTGCTATATGGTTTTGGCGACCACGCTGCGCCCTTTTGCAATCAAGCTGCCCACTCTCCCTTCTAGTCCTCGTTCTCCTTCCTCGTCCTGGCTCTGTCTTACGATTTTAATGACAATGCGATTTGATTTGCAGTGTCAGCGGATGTGTGAATGTGCGAGGCTAGTCGGATGTTGCTTCGTGACACAAGCGTTTTGATGGCCCTGGGCCGAAACTGGCGAGGAGCCTCGTCTGCATTTGTTCTAATCATGTCGAAATTAGGGTTCGGGAAGAATCGCAAATCGGCGGCCTGACCCGTCCCGGGGTGAGTTGTGGCCAGAATTTCGAGCATCCAACCGTGGCCACGAGGACATCCAGAAAGCTCAAACATGTCCCAGGTCTATCCTCGATCTTGGAGGCTCGAACCTCGAATGTCCCAGGTCTAAGGAGGCGGATGAGGAGGTGGAGAATGAGCAGGGAGAGGAAGTACAATAAGAACAAAGGCATCGACATTTGGAGATCAGCGCGGATCTTAGGTCGGCGCTGCACCTCCCTCTCCGGACCCCTTCTCAGGCGCGCTGAGCGCGCCAGGGCGGGGTGCTGGAGGCGCCGCCAGTGGAGCCAGGCAGGGGCGCCCAAGGCCGAGCTAATATGTCCGTTCTGACCCCCGAACATGTGATCTTATGCCGCTCTTTCCAGATACTCCAGGCTCGGGGTCCTTGTTCTTAGATTGACGCCTCCGTTCTGCCTCTTCGCCTCCCCTGCCCTGCCCTCCCCTCCCCTCCCCTCCCCCGCATTCAGCCTCAGACTCACAGTCACGCCGCTTCTGCCGCTGCTGCTGCGAGGCACTGCAGCTGCCCTCTGTTGTGCTGTGCTGCAGTCGGTGGTGCTGCTGGCGCCGGTGGGGACGGTTGTGCCTCCTCTGGTTCTGATGGTGGCGCCGCCCTCCTTTTCGCTGGCCCCATGCGAGGAGCAGGCGCCTCGGGCGCGCGCGCCAGACAACCCCAAGGCGTGGCGTCGCCCAGCTGCGCCAGCTGCCGCTGCAGCCTCGACCGTGTGCTTCTCTCGCCACCGTCGGAGAGGCGGACTACACGCACACACCGAGCCCAGCCAGGCTTATCCTGGGCCCCTGCATCGGGGTGTAGGCCTTCGTTGGCTCTGTGCAGGGCATGGGCAATGATCACAGGCCCAGGATGGGCCTAGCTGGGCCAGACGTGTGAGTATATAAGGCTCAATCTCACATCAGACATCAGATACCATTTTCACGGTATGCTCCAGGTGGGGTCGCGGGGTGACGTTGCGGGGTACGCCGAGCATGGGGAAGGAGTGCCGCAAGGGGATCATGCTGCTTCGTGCGCCCTGCTGATCTGAGCAGCATAGTCGCGTTTGGGGGGCTCGGGTCACAATCAACATGTAAGTTGTCGGAGCCATGCCCAGGCTTCTCGGGGAGCGGTGGATAAGGATAAATGCCCGCCCCCCGAGGGCCGGAAAGTACCCACTGTCCCCAGGGATCCAGGGCAGAACTCCAGCACGTGGGTCTATCCCCGTATTTCTGATGGCCCTGGAGCCCGAATGTGGCCTTGGCGGCAGGAACTCGCGAGAGCCTTCAATTTTTCACAACCATCCTGTGGTGTTGGGTCCCCGGTTTGAAGAGACAGCGCCCGGCGTCTCCTCCCCTGCCGCCAACACGTTTCCTGACGGCTTCGGCCCCCCCGCGCTGCCCTCTGAGGGCCGGTCCCGCCCGACCGACATCGCGCGCTCGCCTCGTCTCGCCTCCTCCCTCTTTCCTCCTCGCATCCTTGCCTTGTCGCTCCGCCCACACATTTCGGCCCCCCCCCCACACGTTTCGTGGCCGCAGAGGGAGCTCCACCTAAGCCCCCAGGAGGGTGTCTTGAACGCGGTCCCCCCGACCATCTCGGCACACCCCTTGCACGTTTCGTGGTGAAGCTCCACGAGGCCTTTAGGGGGCGTATTGAATATTGTCCCCCCCCGACCGTGCTGGCACACCCCTCACACGACTTGTGGCCCCTCCACCGAAGCTATCGGGGGGGCGGTAGTATCGCATGCGGTCCCCCCGCCCATTTTCGGCACACCCCTCACACGCTTCGTGGCCCCATAGGGAGCTCCACCGAAGGGGGGGGGGGGGGTCGCATGCGGTCCCCCCGACCATCTTTCGGCACACGCCCTCAGGGGGGGGGTCGCACGCGGTCCCCCGGACCATTTCGGCATACTCCGTGCACCTTGTCGTGGCCCCATCGGCGGCCCACCGAGGCCCTCAGCGGGGCGGTCGGTGCTGCCCCCCGACCATCTCAGACGCTTTGTGGCCCCATAGAGAGCTCCACCGAAGCCCCCAGGATGGGGGTTTCGCATGCGGTTCTCCGCCCATTTCGGCATACCCCTCACATGTTTCATGGCCCCACAGGGGGCTTCACCGAAGCCCCCAGGAGGAGGTTTCCCATGTGATTCTCCACCCCTTTTGACATACCACTCACACGTTTCGTGTCCCCACGGGGAGTTCCACCGAATCCCCAGGAGGGGGGTCTGCATGCGGTTCCCCACCCATTTCGGCACACCCTCACACGTTTTGTGGCCCCACAGGGAGTTCAACCGAAGGCCAGTGGCAGGGCCCGCATGTGCCCCCGCGACCATTTCGGCACACCCCTCACTCGCCTTGTGGCCCCATAGGGAGCTCTACAGCCAGCGTGCCCACGCCGCGGTGCTGACAACTGCATATGGTTGGGTCTGGCGGAGTCGGCGGCCAGCCCGGGGGGAAGTGAGAAGGGGGGGGCCTTCTCAGAAGGCTCAGAAGTCTCCCGGCCTTCCGAGAAATTTTCTAAGCCTTCTCCAAAGGCACACGCAACATGTCTCAGAAGGCCAGATGCCTTCTGAGAAGCCCCGCTTCCTTCTGAGAAGGCCTTCTCCTTCTGTATCCCCCCCTGGCTCGCCGCCGAACAACCAGATGCCCGTCCTCGTGTACCTCTTTGTGATCCTGCTGATGGTCTTGCGCCGATGGGCCTGCTCCCGATGCTGTTCCCAGGCGGGGCGGGCCGCCTCTGGCCCGTGCTCCGCGGACATTCCGTGGGGAGTGTGCAGCCGCCGATGGATGCGGCCAGCGGGTAGCCCCAGCCGCGCCAGGGCCCGCCGAAGGAGCTGCAGCAGGCCCGCCGCCCCTCGATCTGCGAGACCACGGAGTCCATCCGCGAGGGCTCGCGCCGCCCCGCCCCGCCGGGCACGGCGACGACGACGACGACGACGACGACGACGACGATGACGACGACGACGACGACGATGACGACGACGACGACGACGACGACGACGACGACGACGACGACGACGACGAGGGGCTGCCGAAGGGCCCGGTGGTCGGCCCGCCCCGCGCCGTCCCGCCCCGCCCGGCCCCTCGGGGTGGAGATGAGGATGAGGAGGAGGAGGAGGCCTTGTCAGAAGGCGGCGTGGCTTCAGAGAACCCGAAGCCCTCGCGCCTTCCGAGAAGCGTTCTGTATCTTCGGGGGAGTGCTCCGAAAGCTTCTCAGAAGGCCGGGGGACGTCTGAGCCTTCTGCGGAGGCCCGCCCCTTCTAACTTCCCCCCTGGGCTCGCCCCCGAACCTGGGCCATCCCAGGCCGTCTCTGAGCGTTCCTAGGCCTTCGTGCTCCTGGAAGGAAGGCCTTCCCTAGGCTCACTTAGGCCTTCCTCGGCGTTCCGTAGGCCTATGTGGGCCTTCTTCGGCTCTGCCTAAGTCGGCCTGACTCGACCTACCCAAGGCTGCCCCTGGGAGGGAGGCCTTCCTAGGCCTTCCTCGCGCCTTCTAGACCTCTACCCAGGGCAGAGCCCGCCTCCGGGCTCCAGGGACCGTCAAAAAACATCTCGGGATGAATAAGCGGCCCAGGGACGAGGGCGCCTGCCAAGCGGCATCCTGAGTGCCGCTGCAGAGCCCCTCGGCCAGAGCGTCGACTTATGGACTTAACCATGACGGAACCAACCTTCGTCCAGCCACGAAGCTGAACCGCAGACGTCCAAATGCTTTCGACGAGGAGTGAAGGCGCCCCGTGATGATTCAGACAGTTCTCGTGCCACTGGCAGTTCGATGCGATGCGATGAGCAAGCGGCCATGGGGAGAGGGTCGGGGCTTCCGGGGACCTCGTGTTGAAAAATCAAGACATTGGGTCCGACCCCGCCCGGGAGCATCCCCTGCCTGGGCCAGTGGCGGCTCGCACGCGGCTCCTCGTCGTCATCGTCCGTCTCCTCCTTCCTTCCCCTCCTCCTTTCGCCCCCCCTCCTCGTCCTCCTCGTGTGTCTACACTGTCCCGTTCCCTCCTCCTCCTCCTCCTCCTGCTCCCTCCGCTCCGTAGCCATTTTGGCTCAAGATGTCTGCTTTGCGTGAACAGGGCATGGATACTGTCAGTCCGCGGCCAGTCCAAGCTTTCCAGCGACAACCACGGGTGAGCTGGCACCCGTCCATATTTCCCGTTCACGGTCGCTCCCACCTAGCGGCCGACTCCTGCCTTCAGGGCAAAAGTGTGCTGGCATGGCAGCGGATGACGGCCCTGGTGGCTCTGGGTGCGCTGGTGGCGGTCATCGCGGACCAGGTGCTGCTGCCCCTGGTGGACGACAACGCCGTGAACCAGCCTCCCCTGCTTCTGGACGGTTTCTCTCGAGAAGCACGGAGGAACGGAGTGCACGCGGGCGTCGCAGAGCCGCCAAGAAGGACGACGTGCTGGCAGTGCCTGGCTCCCGGCGTGACGGCAAGCGAGATCCTCGTCTTCCGCCGCCCGAACACGATGCGCTGGCCCGTCAGCACGACAACGGCTCCGTGTTCGGCGTGCTGTATGAGCCCCAGGCTGCTGCCGTCCCCGCGGCCCCTGATCGACCTCACGCTGCTTCGCCCCGACCTGCCGATGAACCTGATCCTTGGCAAGTGCCTGGAGGGGGACCATGGCCTACTCGCACATCGCTACCTGGCACACCTGTGGGAGGTTGCCCCACCCCGACGGGGATCTCGTGTGACCTCCAGGCCTTGCTGGACAGCTGCATGCAGCAGGCCACCGTGGCGCTGGCGGAGACGTCGCGTGTCCAGCTCGCCTCCTGTCAGCAGCAGCTGGTGGCAATGTTCCAGGCCCAGCAGGAGCACGTCGCCAAGTCGCTCGCGGTCCACGCACGAGATGCTGCCAAAGTCGGTGAGCGAGCGGATGCACTGGCCGAAGAGCAGCGGCGGATGTGCGCCCAGATCGACGACATCGAGAAGACGCTCGCCATGGCAGAGAAGGAGATCCCGATCATTGACTTCCAG